GTGGATTCCACGTTGCTTGGTTCGCACTTTGCCAGGAAAGTCGACAAGTGCGGCATCAAGAACAGCCACTAGATTGATGTGGGTCAGTTGCCCCGGAAGGGACCCAAAAACAAGAGGTGAACGTTTTGGGGCCATGACCAAAAATTGGAACGGGAAAGCGGTCGATTCGAGGGAGGATAGTGCCACCGAGATCCAACCCGCAACTAACTTCAAATGGTGCGTTCTATTTAGCGACCGCCAACCCCAGCAAAGCCTCAAGGCTACTTGGATGTTCGGCCAAGGTAGTAAGTTGTTGATCACCTAGGCGATAACCCACTTGTAAGTCCCCCTAAGTTCGTGGGCTATCGCGTTTCACGGGTAACAACTTCCAAGTAATGGGACCCCCAGATTCATAAAGCCCCGGCCGATTGCAAGGGGGCTTCTCTTCTGGTGGGGCTTCAGACCATCTTAGGGCCCGCACCCTCGGACGGCTCTAAACCTGCACCAGTTGGTGGTTGAATCCCTGCATTTACTTTCACTGGACCAAGGCGCAGGCGGCTGTGCTCCATGGCCATGTCCTCCACCTCCCTCCAAGGAGTTGCGGACAACAAGCCCCGCAGGCGGATCTTGAAGTCGTAGACCTGGGGGTCAACTTTAGGAAGACATTTTAGAGGGAAACCTTGGCTGGTTTAGGGGTGGCCTGGAAAGGGGGGCGTAGTGTTGGTTTAGGGGGTGATTAGGGTTGGGTTAGGGCGGGTTTAAGGTGGTTTGAGGTTGGCGTTAGTAGGGGTAGGGTCGGTTTGGTTAATTGTTTTGCGTGGGTTGTAGGGTGCTTTTCAATGGGTTTAGGATTTGTGTCGCGTTCGCTCAAGAATTTGTAAGCACTGGACTGTGCAGCAAAACGAAGAAAACCAATGGAAGGGCTGCAGGGCTCATGACGGCAGGCGAACAGCCAAATCCCACCAAATCCGACGCCAGCTCACCGTGTAGATCTCGATTGGGGCTTTGGTCTGGAAACCTTGTCAAAGCCGAAGGCCTTTGGAAAGGCCCGCAGCCTGGGCACCTGTGCAAGCGGTTTTTTTGTTGTTTCCCTCTGGGCTGCGGCAGAAGACCTGCAAAGGCCTTGTCGCCCAGGGTGGCAGTGCTGCAATCATTGAGCTCAGTCCGAGTCTGACGATTAGCCACCAATAAACCAGAACACGGCGAATAATAGAAGCGTGCAATCGCGCAAACCTTTTGGCTCACGCCCAACTTTGCAGCAAGAAAGCTCCAGTCGCTATACACATGCCGCCATCGCTTCGGGCCGCTTCGTTGGACAATCGAGGGAATCAACAGGGTGAGGCCAAGTGTTTGTGACATGCCCCTCTTGGCTCAAGGGAGGGGCATGGTTTTCACACACTTGGCCCCCGTGTAAAGAACACTCACAGACCATGGGCCTTGGAGACTCCAACTCAAGAGTCTTGAGAATCAAAGCGGCAGGGCTCGCTTTAGAGTCGTCCACGGCATCGCGCAGAACAGAAGCATGGCAGGAGGGATTAGCAGTACCAAGGATGTGAACCAAGATGGCAGTGTCCAATTGGGAAGTGAATCCTTCGCACCTTGCCTTGGATTTGCTTAGGACGCCCAAAGAGAGATGCCTGGAGTCTCCATGACCCCAAAAAATGGGGTCACTACCCCAAAATTAAGGGGTCATGGACCCATTTGTTAAGGGTCATGGAGACTCCTAGGTAGTAACCCAAGCAATACATGATCGCTTAGCGACTGCTTCAGCGGCGCCTGAAAATAAAACATGAAGAACAAGAAGACACGCATCCGCAAGGATCCTTACATCATACAAATGGTTGGTTCCCTTTATTTTGGTGGAAAAAGCCATGTTTCAAATGGGCAACATGTATCTTTTAAGGAGCCCTGATCCACTAAAAGTCCAGGCTGCGTCATCAAGAAGCTGTCGGCCAACCAGGTGAAAAGACCAGGCGGCAGCTTTCGGCACTCGATCCAAATCACATACCACCTTGATGGCTCCCCCCTCCCCACCAAAAAAAAACGCAAGAGGTTCACCTTGTGGGGTGTCATTCCAAAAACCTCTAAAGATCCCCTCCCCTTGCCCCCCCCAAAAAAAACATCACGAACGGGTTTCATTCCAAAAACCTCTACAGATCCCCTCCCCTTCCCCCCCCCCAAAAAAAAAAAAAACAAAAACGAAAAGACGCCGAGCCACGGCAGCCAGGTCCGGCCTCTGCCCTGCCGCTTCATCCACCAGACGCAGCGGTCCAGGCTGGCGCGGGCGGCGCCGGGACTCTCGAAGCGCCGCCAATCGCCGTGCCCGGGCAGGACCCACTGGAAGTCCTGTGGCAGGCGTTCCAAACCTGGGAAGGATGCGCCGGAGAAAAAAAAACAGGAGAAAGGAACACACGGCAATGTGCTGTTGCTCCTGAATTCCAAAAACAAAGACAAAAACCACAAAAAAAAACAGCCAAGGCATTTCTGGTAAAGGGCCAAAGGGAGGTGTTCCAAACCTCAGCTTGCCTCGAAGTGGTGGTTTAGCGATTAAACGCCATCTGCCCTCTACAAGAAGCAGGGCTTCAATTTGTCAAACCACCAAGCCAAACCAGCAATGAAGAGTAGCCTGAAAACCTTGGATGCGCCGGAGAAAAAGCGGAGAAAGACACGTCTGACCATGTGCTGTTTCTCTTTCGGAAAACGAGGAATAAAAAAAGCAAAAAAAAAAAAAAAGCCAGAGTGCTTCTAGTAAAGGGCCAAAGGTAGCCCAACAAAGATATTTAAGCAACATTTAAGCAAACACATGCACCTGAAAGATGTTGACCAGGAGGCTTTGAGTCTGCAACTCCCAACTCTGCCAGCATTGGACACGGGCCGCAACCAGATGTCCCTTGACAGCTGAGTAATGCAATGAATCCCCCGTGAAGAGGAACTTCTTCTTGTACAAAAACATGATGCTCCCAGCTGTGTGGCCGGGTGTGTGAATGATCTGAAATTCAGCCAGGCCCTCCAAGGCCGTGGTTTCCCCTGCTTTGAGCTCCAAAAGATGCTCGAAGCCTTTGGTGACTGGAAATGGAGTGTACTTACTTTCTGCCTCGACCATATCGTCCTTGTGCATCAGTCGGGATGCCTTCGTTGCTTCATACCAGGCGGTGGCATTCCCAGTGTGATCTACATGGGTAAAACACAAGTGTTGCACTCCACCCATCTGCTGCACTGCCTCCAAAAGCTTGGGATGCGCGATTGGCGGGTCGATCAAAATATTATGACCCTCGTGCCGTATGAAGAAGCCGGCACATGCAAAGGTGTTGGCATCCGGGTGGCCCATAAAGTAAACGTTGTCTTCAATCCGTTTGGGAAAGCCTTCGTAGAGAGGTGGCAGTTGCTCCAATCTCACCCTCGGCTGTCTGCTCCAGCGGATCGCTTTGAATGGGCAGCTGAAGATCGCTTGGCGGACTGCAGTGTACTCCTCCGCAGAGGCAATGTCCTGGAACACAAATCTGTGGGCCGGATAGAAAAATATTAAACATGTAGTGGCAGCGCTTGACGAAAAATGTGGTTGTGATATCATGACCAGATAACTACACTAGGGCGATATCATATGGGTGTGTCTGTTGTTAGGGTCCCCCCCAACAAAAAATGTGGTTTTCACCTTTTAGTTTTTCGCTTCGCTTCAAGAACCGACCAAAACTCCCTTCCCCCTAAGAAGAAAACAACATTCGGCCACACATAAAAAAGGGGGAAAAGAAGAAGAAAAAAAAAACCTCTCCCCCCCCCCCCCCGTCCTTGCCCACTTCCGAGAAGTTCCCCGGCCCCAGGGCCGGCTTTGAGCGCGCAACCACCTCCCGGAAGATCTCCGGCGCCAAGACCCGGCAGGTCATGGCCCCCACGCACTTGGAGGTCACCTGGGGCTTTTGGCCGAAAAAATCGGCGCAGTGGTCTGCAGTAGAACCGAAAAGAGGTCCAAAGGCAAAAAAAAACAAACACCAATTGGCCATGACCTTTGCTTCAAACACACAAAACCACGCCTTAAAACATCAACTTGAGTGTTGGGCCTTTGGAAAGTCCGCTCGCCTCATGAAAAACGACACCAAAAACAAGAAAGACAAGACCCGGCCTCCGCGCGGCCCCAATCTTCAATGTCCGACATGGCGATCGGATCGGGACAAGCTCGGCTTTGAAAGCTCCACTGCGGCAGCTGTGCGTAGGTTCCACAGTGGCTCGTGTGACGACTTGGCCACTTCAGTGGATATGTTTCATTTAAAAAGAAAGGCACAGCTTCTTGGTGGTTCTCCAGCGGCTCCCTGGGGTTTCGCTGGTTTCATTCTGCTCTTTCTGACCTCTTTATGTCGCGAGCAAGCTGCGCCAGCTTCGCGGCACTTGGCGTCAACCCCCAGATGCCAACCCCCACCCCACTCCCACCCCGGCGCCACGGTGTTCCATGCAAGTGATTTTCATTTCGGTGTTCAGACCCACATCCGAAAAGAGATGCTCAGAAGCACTGAGAAAACACTCGCATGGACAAAACACAGCCTCCCGCCGTCCCGCCAGCCACGCACTCTGTTTCTCTGCGCTGCCCTCAGAGCCCCTGCTAAGAGTTTACTTTTGCTGAGTCGTCATGGAGGCCCCCCCACTACACCACCTACAAACAGTTAAACACCAAAGGCTGGGAACCACCAAGTATTTGCAGTACATGTTCGGCTTTTGCAAACCGGGGAAAGGGGGGCGGGGAACCTCATTTTTGCGGGGTGCCCCGGCTTCTTTTTGGAGAAAACCGCCCTCCACGCTGGGCTCGCTTCAGGGAAACTAGAAGGAACCCCTATTATTTGGGGGTCAAACATTTCGCGTCCCAGGTCCAGCTGGTCGAAGTTTTGTTCTTTTGCTTTTTTGTTTTCCCCGCGCAAAGCCGGAAAAAAGAAAAGAAAAGAAAACGGGCCGCCGAGTCCGAGCAAAAACCGACGAGGCGCCCCACCGCTCGGGGCCGGGGCTTCCGGCGAGCGCGGAAGCCCGCGCGCCCGCGCCTGCTGGTTGGCCCTTTGCGCCCCCATCGACGCGAAGAGGCGCCAGGCATCAAGGCTCCAAGGGTCGATGTCCCGCAGGAAGTGCCACAGAACCTCGCCCAAAGATCCGAAGTTGGCTTGGTTGACCTTGGGATTGGGGGGCAAAAAATCCCCCAGATTTTAGCAGTTGAGTGGTGGGATTTCAACCACGAAGCCACAACAAGCAAACATGTAAAATGTTTCCCATCAACAACCATGTTAGGGGGCGGTGGGTGCCAGGATGCCGATCCAACTCGCCACACGGTGGGTGAAGACGCACGAGATCCGAAATCGAGTAACAGAAACTAAAAAAACAAAAAAAAACAAAACAAAAAAAGGAAAACAAAACAAAAAAAAAACCACAATTAAAAATAATACCCCAACTACAGCCCCCCCGGGGGGAGCTGGGCCCATGATGGGGGGGGGGGGGGGGGTGGGGGGTGTGGTTTGGATCGCCCCAATCCCACACCACCCCCCAATCGACGCCTCACTCACCCCCCCCCCACCCCAACCCCCCCCCCCACCACCCACAACCCCGCGTCACCCCTCTCCACCCCACCCTTGCCCTCCCCCCCCCCCCCCCCTCCGCGCCCTCCAGCGCAAACGGGCCGCTTTCCCCCCTCCCCCCCCTTCGCCAATACCCCACCTCCCCGCCGAATGACGCACGCATCCGTACATCGCTATACGCAACACGAAAGGAAACCACGGGGAGATGCAAACCAAACGTTGGTAGGCATTTACCGGGGCATCAGCATCATTCCCAAGGTTGCTGAACGGTGGCGCGAAATGCGTTTCGTCCATCCACAGTATGGCAAGTTTACGACAAGACCGACCAATTTGACTGTAACGTCAACCATTGTTTTGTGGGTGGTGCCGTTGGCTAACTTGCAATATTTAGGGCCGAAATTCATAGGGGGAAGGGCGTGGCTCAAAAGCAAAGAGCTGGGATAACGCAAGTTGTGTCTTTTCCATTTCCTAAGGCCTCAAGGTCATTTTGGGGTACCATGTTTTGAGCCGCAGCCATCTGCGTGGGATAAGGGGAGGTTCCACCTTTGAACCCACAAAAATTTTGCAAGTGATCGCAAAACCGTAGGGTGAATGACGGGTGTGGACTGGGGGGGGTCCTTGTTCTTTCGCAACAGGTTTGGAGATGAACTCGGATCAATGTCCTACCTGCGACAAGTGATACGTCACCGCTGGTAAGGGATCCGCAACGGCAACAAATATGAAACGCTAGCAGGTGAAAAGCAGCGGAATAACTGATATTCTAGTGCAACGTGTCCCATACTACTATTATGTTCCAAGGACAAGTCTTTCCTCTGGCTTCCTTTTGGGTGTTCAACCAACTTAGTAAGGTCATTGGGCACCATCGCCTCCATCGAAACTCCAAAAAAAGGGTGCCAGAAGCTTGGAAAAAAGGAAGAAAACAATTAAAACGAGGGGAAACAAAAAAAACTCCCCCCCCCCCAACAAAAAAACAAAAAAACAGACTCCGAGCGCCGAGCGCCGAGAGCCGCCGGCCCCCGCAGCCTCCACAGCCCGCGGCTGCTCGGAGCTCTCCACGGGCACGGAGGCCACCAGGCCCAGGAACTCCTCGCGCGGCCGAAAGAGTAGTCGGGGGCCTTGCCCCGCAAATAAATTGCTTCATACATACCCCCCACCCTACATGTTTTTTCATCTTCCATCTTCTACCCTTATTTGTTTTCATCATTTTTCTACATTCCTTTCTGTCCATCTCATCCGTTTTTTTATCATCATTTTTCCAAAATTTTCGCCATCCTTTTCTCCTTTCTCCTCGCCTCATTCATTTCACCAACTACCCTCCAAAATGTCATTTCCTCAATCTCCTCACCTCATCCATTTCAAAAAAATAAATTTTGCAAAATATATTGCAAAAAATATTTGTCATCAAAAAAATATTCGAACTGTCTAAAAACGATTTGTCCATTTCCCGGACAAAAAAATAGAACAGCAACAACATCACTCCCTCCTTCGTTTCATCAGTTTCATCATATATGTTTTTTAGGCGTGGTCGCATAGCTTGCGAGCTTCGCTAACGCTCGCGTGTCCCTTGTAGGATTTTAGGGTGGTTAATATCAAAATCATCACTCCTAATCAGTAAATGATACAATAGTGGTCATACTATTGTATCAATCACTCTAAGTTTCCCTATGCTTCTCCATTATGTGTTTCTCCCATTGATACGGTAGAAAACTGGCTCTACATGTCAAGCACCTAAAATGTTTTTTGCCATCTATGATTTTGATTTCATCAGGTTCTGGCAGTTTCTCCTCAGGGTTCTCGCTTCTTCTCAGGTTTCCTTGATGCCATGCTGTTTTCTCGTGTCTTGCTTTGCTTTTTAGTTGCACTTCAACATCGCATAACGAACAACAATGCATTCTTGTTTTGTATTCCTTCATGTATTCTCTTTGCCTTTCTTGGTATTTTTCAGGATTGTTCTTTCTATCTTCCCTTCTGTATTCTCTGTATTTTTCAGGGTTGTTGTGGTAGTGTCTTTTATTTTTTGCTCTACATATATTGCAAGTCTTGAACCCTTCTTCAAATTTGTCGGCTTTTTGATTGAACATGCATGTGCTACAATACGTTCTTTCAATTTCCATCCTTATTGTCTATAGGTGTTCTCTCTTTAAGTGTAAATCCAAGCCTATAGTTTATGAAAAAATGTAGGCGTGGTGTCCCTTGTAGGATTTTGTTGGGTTTTATGGTGTGGGGTTTCAACCGTCGGCGCCGCCCACTTGCCACGTCTTCATCTTCTACCACATTCCAGAGGCGGGGCGGAGGTTAAGGGATGGGGACACAAAGCAGTGATTGAGACAGCAGGCATCAACCGTGTTTGAACCGCTTTTAGTTTCTTTCCCAAGCACAGAGACCCCTCGCCATTTCCACACCAAAATCGGTGATGTCCACCCCAAAATCGGTGATGTCCACCCCAAAATCGGTGATGTCCACCCCAAAATCGGTGATTTCCACCCCAAAATCGGTGATTTCCACCCCAAAATCGGTGATGTCCACCCCAAAATCGGTGATTTCAACCGTGAAAGTGGCACATTCGGCAATAGGTTCGCACAGACCCAGATGATGGAAAAAATGCGTTTTGTCCCAGCACCATCAGCATTTTTGACCAAGCAGTTTTAAGCTTTTTGTGGGACACCCGACGCCGTGCTAGGTTGATGAGCGAGCACAATAAGCTTGGGTGCGCCCCCTTTTGACTGGGGGGCAGGGCGGGCTGGCTTGGGTTTTGGGTTTGCTGGTGGGTCCCTCCCTCTCCTTGTCTTTTATGTGTTTGTTGTGTTTTTTCCCGCGCAGGTATCTTCATCGTCTTCTTCGCCTACGAGACCGAGCCCTACTAGGTAAGGACTTGGTCGGGAGGGCTTTTTTCTGTGGCGGGGTATATATATAATATAAGGGGAAACTCTCGCCAATTTTTCCCTGCCCTGTTTGGCAATTGGCGAGAGTTTCCTGATATATCTATATGAATATTGGCGTTTTCTAAATTTGATAAACTATGGGTTATCCCCTTAAAAATTAATATTTTCATTTTTTTAGAATTCCATTTTTTACTGTGTTGTCGTTGGATGAACCTAGAAATTTCAAGTTTCAAGCCCAACCCCAAACTCAAAATCCTTAATCCGTCAAACTCACCAAGATTTCACAAATTAATTCACTAGGTATTTTGTATAAATCTTCCTGTTTATGTATTATTGGATTGTCTCCCCAATTTTCCTTGGTGCCCGATGGCAGTCTCTGTGCAGTTTCAATATGTTTATTATTCCTGATGTTACCACAATCCTTTTTACATAATTCTCTAGGTTTCCAAGTTGTAATGTTATTCCAGAGCCTAGTGCGTTTTCTGTAAGGCATTCCACATTTACAATAATCAACATCTTTGAATTCAAACTCATCCATAAACTCCTGATGTTTTAATAATCCAGTTTGTGGATTTTCGATTACAAAATATTTAGGATTGAAATATTTGATAATATCAATAGTTTTTAAGACAATACTATTTGCATATTCGATATTCCTAATTCCCCTAGTTTTTGCTACACTATATTCAGTGCATGGGGGACTACTCCAAATAAAATCAAAATGGTTTCTGTCAAACTGTTTGTAATCCCACTCCAAAATATCAGTGTTGATATCAGCATTTTTCAAGTCTAATGATATCACATTAAATCCAAGCGACTTTGCTATGGTTCCGACGCTTTTTGTTCCGCTAAATAATTCTAATAAATTCATTTATTAGAATTATTTAGATATTAATTATTCAAATAATACATATACTCCATCATCATGTTTTGTAATTTTATAAAACTCTAATGTTTGTTGCTTTGGTTGTTTGATTTTTCCTGTATTCAACATATCGCAGTATTTCTTTTGCTTTGTAGGGTAATCGCCACTGGGTCTACCTATAGATTTTGCTTGAAATATTTTGTCAATCTTCTCCTTCTCTTCGTTGCTTTGTTGCTCGCGTTCAACTGGTTTCATTTTGTCATCAATGGATTTAATCATATCATTTAAGGTTTTGATATTTTTACCAATTAATGTTATCTTCTTCATTAAATCATTAATAGTATAATTCTCATTTTCAGACATTACTATATATTTATTTAGATAATTATTTATTTAATTAAATATTTATAAAGCGCAATTATGTTAAATCTACTCTTTAAATACTAACTTATGTCCCTGTTAAAACTAACATTAATCAAATGTTCGTTAGTTTCAATAACCATATCACCATCTGTTCTTTTCTGAATATTAAAATCTTTATCTGTTTTTTTATAAGAAAACATACATGGGACACAACTAACTTTAACTCCACCTTTCTTATCTACTGTCAATTCATTTTTAAAATTCATTATGTGATTACATTTATCACATTTTATAGTCTTACTTTCGCCTAGTGATTTAACACTTTCTGCTGCTTCTTTCCGTGCTTCAATATCTGGTATTGGTCTTTCTTTGCTTTTACTCTTTTTCTTTTTTCCCATTTATATTAATATTTATATTTTTAATATATTGTATCAAAAACTTAATTAATTCTAAAATAAAATAACATATTTTTTTACATCTATTATCAGTTATGACAGCCCGTTCTATATTCTCCATTTCATTTATTATATTAATATAATCTGTATAACTCCTATTCATATAAATAATAAGATAAAATAGTTATTTAATCTTATTATTTTCATGCATAATAGAATATTGGTGGGGCACAGCACTTGGGGTTTTCATTGCACACGCGAGCAAGACACAAAACTAATTAGCTTCAATGCTTATTGATTGAAGTTGATGAAAGAGCCTGTTCTACTACGATAGTCACCATTCATATCATGGCAATGCTTTCATACAATAAATAATATTAAATTATTTTCTAAATATCTTTAATATCAATTATGACAGATGTTCCACTAATAAAACCAATAAACATAACTGAATATGAATTCAAGCAATCCAAATATGAGCACGTGCCAAAATTACCATTTAGAAGTATTATAGTTGCTTCTTCGACAGGCGGTAAGACTGTCCTTATTCAAAATTTAATATTGAATGTTTATAGAAATTCATTTGCAAGAATATTTATATTTTCACCCAGCGTCCATAACGACCCTACATTTACAGAAGTTAAAAAATATATCAGGGATGAATTGCACGTGGATGATGAAAAAGAACAAATTTATTTTGATAATTATAATCCAAGTGATTTAGAAAATGTAATTGAAAGACAGAAGAAAATAATTAATTATATGAAATCTAAAAAGATAAAGAAACTGCATTCAATATTAACCGTTATAGATGACCACGCAGACGACCCTAAATTTGTTAGATATAGTAAATTATTACATGGATTATTTACAAGAGGCAGGCACGATGCAGTAAGTGTGATTTGTTCAACACAAAAATACAATGTTTTAGCGCCTATCATTCGTTTGAATGCCAGTTCATTATATATTTTTAGGTTGAAAAATGCCAGTGAATTAATGAGTTTTATTGAAGAAAATAGCGCCATTGTTGATAAACAGCAATTATTAGATATGTATCGTCAAGCCGTTAATTTTGCTCCATATTCTTTTTTCTACGTGAATATGAATTCAAAAGACATTAACAAAATGTTTCATATCAATTTTGAACAGGCATTTCAAATTACAAATGATGAATAAAGATATTCTAACTTAATATAATATAATAATATGCCAATGAAACTATGTAGATGTGGTGGATTGTATCGTAGAGGTAATTATAATTTTCATACTAATTCTTGGATACATAAACTTTATAAGGCATTGAAGAGGAGGGCAACGGACGAGGAATTATTAAGATTTCAAAATAATTTTGTTGATGAAGACGCTTCGCCAGAGGCTCGCGAGCTTCGCGACGATTTAATAGATGAAACAAATAGCACTGTTTCAACATCAACGCCAAAAAGTGAAAGAAGTTGTATAAGCAATTAATAATATTAATTATGTTTTAATATTATTAATTCAAAATAATGAATAGCTACATAGATTCAAAGCAGGTAATTTATAATATATTTTATCTTTTTTACATTCATTAACTTTTTCTAA